TTTACTTTCTTTAGATTGTGGGTAGAGTCCCATGAAGCTGATGACTGTGGGAAGGGGTTCTCAACTGGGGGCAGTATGCCCCCTCCCTGCCCTGAGGATATCTGGCAATGTCTGGAGATATTTTTGTTGTTTTGTTTGTTAACACTGGAAGAAGTAGGTACCTCATCTTGGGAGTAGCAGCTAGGGATGCCCTAAATATCATACAGTACGCAGGATGGCCCCACAATAAATAGACAAATAGGTAAATATATAAAGCAATAAAGCATAGGTTCTAGATGAGTTTGCCTGGATTTAAGTCCCATTTCTGCCACTTATTAGCTATGCAATTATCTTCAGTTATCTGTACTCCCATGTCTCTCTTATAAATATAATAATATTCCTTATCTGATAGGGTTGTCATGAAAAATGAATGCACTAATACATGTAAAATGCTTAGAAGAATGTCTGGCACATAATAAATGCTCAATACATATTAACTATGATCATCATTATCACTATCAATGACATCTTTCTTTCTCCGGTGTCTAATTCAGTAAACAAATGTGTGATGAAGTGAGAAAGAGGATGAGTTATAAAGGAAGCACATTATATGATATTAAAATTTTGAAAGAAATCTCTCCCTGGGGGCACAATGGGTTAGGACTCAGTACTGTAAGCTAGGGGCAGCCGCTTCAGTACAAGTTTGATCCCCGACCTGGAGATGACCCACATAGCAGATAGACCTCTCCTTACCTGCCCGCACGCTGCTCCCCTCAGCAGTGTACTTTGTCAATCTGCCTATTCTGCTCCCCACTCTGTCTCTGATGGATCCTTTCACCGCCCCTGTACTTCTGGCTTGTACCCCAGTTCTGTATGCATAAACAAATAAATTTTAAATTTTTTTTGAAAGTTAATGTTTTAAATTTCTCTAGAAGAAAACTAAAATTTCAAGGCAAGGTGTGTAAAATGAGTTGAAAATTGGTGTGGTACTGACAAATAAAACATGTAAATAATAAACATATAAGACAATAAACACTTTCAAATTCTGCTTTTACAGCCTGATTTTATGGTGAGGCTATAAAACAATTCTCAGATGAAAATTACTACTAGTTTTATAGACAACCTTAAGAACTATTGTTAACTTTAATATTTCCCCTGGTGAAAGTCACCAGACATAGGTTACGGCATTTCCACACGTAACATTTAGATTTCTGTGTATTTCCTATATGATAAAACCCCATAATCTATCTGTGCTAAATATTATTGAAATACAAATATTATTGAAAACCAATGCTAGCAAAAAGGCAAAGTGGCAAGAATCACTATATACCACAGGGGGAAGGGGATCATAGAGATAATTTCCCCAACCCCCTCACTTCATTTGTTCAGGACACTAGGACCAGAGAAGGTCCCATAGCTAATTTGTAACAGAAATTTTTTTCACTTGATTCCTGTCTAATTCAGTGTACTTATTAGGATCCTAGTTTTAGAAATAGTATCCACCAACATTTTGGGTAAAAGAGTATTATTTTTATTAAGAGAAGTAAAAAGCTTACCACAAAAAGCTAACAGTGCATTAAACACAGTGGACTGTCAATAAATGTTTGTTGCAGGATGGGTGCAAGGATGAATAGAAAGGCTTAGCTGGATGGCTGTTAAGTCCTCAGATTCTCAAAATGTCTCAACACTTAGGTCATCTCAAGTGGTGTAAGCAAGCTGCATTTGGTAAGAATCATTTTTTAAATAGATAACTGAGCAAAGATACAAAGTCAGTCTTTTAATTCTATCCCTCCCACATGATATTCAAGACTCATTATGTGAAAGAGATAATCAAATAACCTTGCCTCTTTTCTTGAATATTTCCTTTCTAACTATAAAGAAATATATACTCACTGTAAAATTTTAGGAAATAAAATTAGTGATTAATAGTAAAACCTGGTATTTACTGAGTGTTAATTTTGTACTAGGCATATTATAAATATTTGACATGTGTTGACTTATTTAATCCTCATAGCAACCTCAACACAAACATACTACTATTATTAACCCCATTTTTACAGATGAGAAAACTGGGGCACAGAGATATTAGGTAATTTGCCCTGAATTTTATAACCAATAAGTTATAAGAGCTGGGATTAAACTCAGCAGGGTGGTTTTTTTTGTTTTTTTAAAGATTTATTGATTTGTGCATACAGAGCTGGGGTACAGTCCAGAGGCTCAGGTGCGGTGAGAGACTTCACCAGAGACAGAGCGGGGAGCAGAACAGGCAGATGGACGAAGCACACTGCTGAGGGGAGCAGCGGGCGGGTCAGGAGAGGTCTGCCACGCCATGTGGTCACCTCCGGGACAGGTGGGATCGAACTCATGCGGAAGCGGCTTCAGCTTCTCAGTGCTGTGCTTTAATCCGCTGCACTACCAGGGAGGGCCAGCAAGGTGGCTCTTTTATACAGCATTGTTCAAGTTTTGGTTTCCAATGCACATAGAAATTGATAAACTTGACTAGTTTAAAATTTAAAACTTCTGTGACATAGTGAAATGGACAAGCAAGCTACAAAAAAGCAAAGAATAGCAAAACATGTAATCGACAAAACAGTATTTTATAGAATATTAAACAAATTTTAACAAATCGATAAGAAAAAGACAACAGTGCAATGGAAAATGGGCAGAGCCTGTAAATAAGAAATTTATGGGCCCTCCCTGGTGGCGCAGGGGGTTAAAGCACAGCACTAAGAAGCTTAAGCCACTTCCACATGAGTTAGATCCCCGCCTGCCCTGGAGGAGAACCACATGGGGTGGAAGACCTTTCCTGACCTCCCGCTGCTCCCCTCAGCAGTGTACTTCGTTGGTCTGCCTGTTCTGCTCCCCACTTTGTCTCTGGTGAATCCTCTCACCCTCCACATCTCTAGGCTGTACCCCAGTTCTGTATGAATAAATAAATAAATCTTTAAAAAAAATAAGAAATTTATGAAAAAATGCAAGTATTCTTTTAACCGTTGGAGGATTTCTAGTCACACTAAAAATTATAGGATGCAAGTATAAAAGTCAGATATCATTTGACACATAGAAATTGAGAAAAATTATAAATTTGATAGTAGCAAGTATCAATAAATATGGAACAATGAGAATTCTCATACTCTGCTATAAATTGGTATTTCACTTAAGAGACAGACCAATAATTTCTAGTATACATTTTACAGTCTAAAAATTCTATTCTTAGCCCCTAAAGAATATTTCTTGAATTAATGTATCTGTACTGGAAAAATGTATAAGAATGTTCATCACAGTTGTTTTTTTTCCCTAATACAGGAAAAAAAAGTAAACCAATTAAATAACTATCAACAACAACAAAATGGAAAATGTAGATTATTCACATAATGAAATACTATAGAGCAATCATAATGAATAAAGAAGAAACTCAAAAGAAGAAATGCATATTTCAGAAAGATATATTCCATATGACATTTATATAAAGTTTTAAAACCTGCAAAACAATATGACATACACATACATACACAAACACATGTTAAGGGGAAAAAGTATATCTCTACACTGGAATGAAAGCACCAAATATAAGCTTGTTGTTAGTTCTAGGGTAGGATGGGTAGAAAGTAGATTAAGGAAGAGACAAATAAATAAAGAAGCAATAAACTAGCTTTGATAGTTTACTAAAATTTTTTCTAATTTATATAGTAAATTATTAAGATTTTACAAATTTGTGGTGGTAGCATGTAGTGGTTGATCAAATTTTTTCAGTTTTTCTATATGATTGTTTTCTCATAATTTTTTTTAAAGATTTATTTATTTATTTATTGGTACAGAACTGCGGTACAGGCCAGAGATGTGGAGGGTGAGAGGATTCGCCAGAGACAGAGTGGGGAGCAGAACAGGCTGATCGCGAAGTACACTGCTGAGGGGAGCAGTGGGGGGGTCGGGAGAGGTCTGCCACGCCATGTGGTCACCTCCAGGGCAGGCGGGAATCGAACTCATGCGGAAGTGGCTTTAGCTTCTTAGTGCTGTGCTTTAACCCGCTGCGCCACCAGGGAGGGCCAGGTTGTTTTCTCATAATTTTAAAGAAACATTACTATAAGTTAAAAGTAAAGTACTAATCACATAGAAAGCTTCATGTTTTGTAAAGATGAGTAAAATTAACAATCTGTGCATCACTGAAGTAAACTATTAATTGTTACTTTTCCACTAGAAAAGTAACAATTTGATTAGAAAACTCAAAGGTAGAACAACTTTTTTTGCTATTATAAATTAATGTGGATAATTATATTATCAGATATAGTTAAGTGTCGTCAAATACTAATTTATTCTGTATTATTTCCATATGGTCAACTATTATATGCAGTGGTGTCTCAATTTTGGAAATGAAGGCCCTAAATTGAAGAAAGTCCTTGATTTATCCAATATAAATCTGGAATTTCAGTAGAATGTTAGAAAAATAGCTCAAATGTGAAAATCCTTTAAAAATAGATTTTGTCCTCTCAACCAAATAGCTCAAAGTATTGTGCAGTAATGATTCTGATATTTTTAATTCAATGCAACAAGGCAGAGAAATTTAAAACAAAAATTAATTTCTAAAGCAAATACCATAATGTGAAATTTGCAGAAAATTAGAGTAATTAGCATTTTACCGGTTTTGATTATGTTAAGTACATCTTAGAATACGATTGTTATTTAAACACTTGGTGATGGTTGGAAGTATGACCTCGGTCCCTAAAGTGGAATGGTTGGTGGATTAAGTTCAAATACAGTCTGTTTACCCTTGGACTTAAATGCCTTTAATCAAAGCAGAAGACATTTTTTAAAATGCTGATTTTAAAAACAGAACTGTAAATAAGATTATGATTTATGAAACTGCTAATGCTCTTTTCTGCTGTTAAACATCAAAGAATTCAATCTTTGGCTGCAGTAAATATAAGAGTGTGAACTTGTTACAGCAGTTATAGGTACCCTTCTTAAAAATTCCTCTTCTTTTAAGAGTTATAAATGCCTTCCTTCCTTCTAGGTCTCAAAGAATGCATTCTAAAAGCAGTGACAAGGAGGAGGGCTCAGCCCCCAAACCATTTCCAAGATGTGACCACACACTCCAGGGATCAAAAGACATGAAGCATAGACAGCAAGAAAAGGACTCTACCAGAGAGTCAGCTGCAATCCTTCCATGTCCTAAGTCTCACAGTGGTAATGGCCACCAAGGGGAAGACCTTTCAAGAGATGATCTATTGTTTCTTCTCAGCATTTTGGAGGGAGAATTGCAGGTCAGCTGTGTTGGGATTATAATCATTATGCTTTTAGGGGAAAGTCTGTGAATTTGGTATGCATGCTGCCACAGAATAGATATGTGAATCATACTACTATGAACATGAAAGAAAAGTGTAAATACACTTCTACAGAATTTTCTTATGCCAATCTGAAGGGCAATTATTCACACCTAAAAAGGCAGTCATTATGCCATGCAACTGGGATGCATGCTGTGAAAGGTCATGTCCACTGCCCATGCTGTGCACAAGTTTCAGTGCACAGGCACATATGTGTAACAACAGTACTAGCAGTACCAGATGACTTTTGGACTGGTTGAAATCATGACAGACACTTTTGGATCCCATATGAGCTGACTCCTAAAACTGTTCTGGTATTTTTGACCCATGTAGAAAACTAAAAACAGTTACTACACATACAGGATAATCTTACTTCCTACACCTGAAAATGCAAATGCCAGACCATGTAACATGCCAGGTATTATGCATTTTGTACAATAATAAAAAATATGAAATCTCCCAAATCTTCCTAGTGGTCACTTTTAAAAACTATTAGTGTAGTCAGATTGTTAAAGAGGATGAAGCAACAATTTTTTTTTTGTCCTTTCAGAAGTTATTCTAAGAAAATGATTTGTTTATATTTTAAAAAGAAGAAAAAACTACTGTTAAATACCACATGAAATCTTCCCTGCAGAGACTGCTGGTAGATAAAGTGGGCTTTCTGATATATGCCTTTTGTTCCTACAGGCTCGAGATGAAGTCATAACCATTTTAAAGGCTGAAAAAATGGACTTGGCCTTGCTGGAGGCTCAGTATGGGTTTGTCACTCCAAAAAAAGTATTGGAGGCTCTCCAGAGAGATGCTTTTCAAGCAAATTCTGCCCCTTGGCAGGAGGATATCTATGAGAAACCAATGAATGAGGTATGTATCACATCTGGGATGTGCACCAGGGAGAAGCTTCCTGAGCAGCAGAGCACTAGGCCTGGCAGTTAGTATGACATCGTTGATTCTTTGCAATTTTACAATCTAAGGCATTTAAAAATACTAAAAGTAGATGAGTAACTAAATGTTCTATTCAAAATAAAGGAAGAATAAATCATGGACAAGATGTTCCCACTAAGTTTGTTTCTTGACATTAGACAGACCTACCAACTGCAAGAGAATTTCTCATTCTCTCTCTCTCTCTCACTCTCTCTCTCTCTCTCTCTCTCTCTCTCTCTCACACACACACACACACACACACACACACGTTTGCATGCAAAGAGCATGCACTTCTTTTTTGGACTCAAGGGTATTTGGGCTGTAATAAAAATGAGATAAAATTCAACCTCAGAGGTTAGTTTCTTTGAAAACACTAAGGTATTATGTCATAGAAATTTTAACATAAATGGAAATGATCTGAAGAAATACCCAAGAAACAGTTTAGAAAATAAGAACTTTAGATGAGAGCATGTCCCCTTTTTCTTTAAAAAACTGAATGACAGCAAAGACCTCTTCTCTACCCAGTACACCCAGCAGTGGCAATGACCATGATAACATGAACACTACCAAATAGAGTCACTACCACAGAGGTGATGCCACTCTCTCATTTACTTGCAGGCATTTCTAAAACTCTTTGGCATCCTTATTTTAGTCTTTATTTTCCTTTGAGACCTCAATGGAAAATTTCATAATTTTTATGAAAAGGAAACAAGTTGGAATATGAGTTAAAGCTGGAGAGACTGAAAGCAAGTCTTGGACATATTTCCTCTACATAAGCTTTGGCAACCTACCTCAGAACTGACCTCTAATGTCCTTGCTATTCTCGCTTTGGGTGTCTCATGAGAGAAGACTACTGTCTTGCCAAATTCTGAAGGAGTTTAGTCATATGGCTCTGCTTCTCTGAGGGGTGAAGATGAGACCACCCAAAGACTGTTGACTTGAGTTTTAATCCAAATTTTAAACAAGAAGAGCTAAAGCTGCACTCAAATCAATAGTATTAAAATTGTGTCTTTGCTCCCAACACGGTCACTTTTCTGAAAAAGCATTAGGAACAAATTCCGCAACACATATGAACTCAGGCACAAATTAATGATCACTGAACGTATCCTGACAAAACTCGACAAGAGGCACAACCCCTCAATATTTCATGAGAAATGGAACAAACCGATCTCAAGTTAATGCTGAAATCAATAGGAAAAAGTTTTAGTAACAAAATAATTCTACTGTACCCATGCAAAACTGGAAATACTCTCTGCAACTGTTACATCCTAACAACGTAAATTGTCCTTGCAAGTTATCATAATTTGACCCTACTTTATAAGTCTAACCTTCTTTGACTGCTTCCCCATTTTCCTTGATTACTTGTACAAATAACACATAAAGAAACATGTGCATGTATATATACACACCTTCTCACATTTCTACCTCTGATTTATCCACTCTCCTCTCTTGCTACTCCCCCCTTACAGGTTTCTCTGTCCCTTTCTATGAGGCCCAAATAACTACCTATCCAAAACCCAGATGTCTACCTTCTTCCTCAAAGGAATAATGGGTAAGAGGGTATATCCAGAGAATAAACAGTGAGAGGAATCCTTACTAGGATTCCCTCTATTTGGGTGAAGAAAACAAGAGGACAATGTTCCACAATAATCACCTGTGGCTACAACCTAATTATATCAGATTAAGAATCTGCAAATTTATTATTTTGCTTTCTCCCATCCTCCCTCCTTTTATTTTGCTCATAATGTTCTTTTTCAAAAATGTGAAAAATTTCAACAATGTCTAGGGTAAGAGAAAGGGGATTTATCTATTTTTTTTTTAAGATTTATTTATTTATTCGTACAGAACTGAGGTAACTGGGGAACAGGCCAGAGTTGCGGAGGGTGAGAGGATTCACCAGAGACAGAGTGGGGAGCAGAACAGGCAGATGGACGAAGTACACTGCTGAGGGGAGCAGCGGGCGGGTCAGGAGAGGTCTGCCGCGCCATGTGGTCGCCTCCGGGGCAGGCGGGGATTGAACTCATGCGGAAGTGGCTTCAGTTTCTCAGTGCAGTGCTTTAACCCGCTGCGCCACCAGGGAAGGCCCTATTTTTTTTTTTTAAAAAGATTTATTTATTTATTCATATAGAACTGGGGTACAGGCCAGAGATGTGGAGGGTGAGAGGATTCACCAGAGACAGTGGGGTGCAGAACAGGCAGATGGAGGAGGTACACTGCTGAGGGGAGCAGCGGGCGGGTCAGGAGAGGTCTGCCACGCCATGTGGTCACCTCCGGGGCAGGCGGGAATCGAACTCATGCGGAGGTGGCTTTAGCTTCTCAGTGCTGTGCTTTAGCCCGCTGCGCCACCAGGGAGGGCCCGGATTTATCTATTTTTAAGGCTAAATAATTTAGAAAAACAAACTGTTCTTAGTTACATCATATGGTGGGAAAACTGACTTCAGATGAAATGTGTTAGGACAAAGAACAGAGATGGGGATAAGGGGGAGTCAGGCTGTCAGGAGTAGAGAAGATATAAGAACTCAGAGTCTTAACAGCATTAACCTCCTTTCCAAACTGGAGCTCTTAACTAAAGTTATCAATAAAAAAATAAAATAAAATAAAAAAAATTCAGTTAACCACCTGACATATTTTAGTGGTTCCAAAAAAGGTATGTGGCCCAAGGAGTTAAATCTCAGCACTGCAAAGCTATCCACAGCACAGAGTTCAATCTCAGGGCAGGGAGCTAGGACCTCACCTATCTCACCCACTGCTCCCCTCAGCAGTGTTTTTCAGTAGATCTGCCTATTTTGCTCCCCGCTTTGTCTCTGTTGAATCCTCTCACCCTCCAAACCCCTGGCCTGTACCCTAGTTCTTATATACATAAATAAATAAATAATTCTTTAAAAAAAGACATCAAGGAAAACACAACAGCATTTTGGATTTAAGTACTATAATAAGGAATCTGCATATCTTATTAGCATTATCTTAGGGTAGCTATTTTAAAGTACTTAGTTTAAGCAACTGTTTAATTTTTAAATTTCATTTTGTAATTTTTCATGTGTTTTACCTTAAATTTCACTTTGTAATTGTTCATTTTTCCTTCAGTATTTAATGTATGAGTGACAATGATCTCACAATGTCCAGTAAATGACCCTACAAATAACTAAACATTATACTAATTAGTGTGTGAGAACCACAAAGTACTATTAGCCAATATAAGAGAGAACTGAATTTAGGTAAAAGAATTAGGAATGTTAACATCCGGAAGATGATCCAAAGATCATCCAAGGATGTAAGGACGGATCATGTCCACCATTTGGTCAATGGAATGAGTAAAAGACTTAACTAGGAGCCACTGGCATATTTTCTAAGAGGAATTCTGAACACAGAGCAATGAAGACACAAAGTAAAACTTAGGATATAAGCTAAAACACATTTAGAATAAGTAATCCCTTTTTGGGAACATCCCTTCTTCTAAGTGAATACTCAACATTTTTTCCAATTATTGCTGCTGACAAATGTAAGCTGCTTAGTGGTTATACCAAATAGTATGTAGTCAATCCAACTCATCCTTTAAGAATCATGGAATATGACAGAAAGAAAACACAGAGATCTAAGCATCTCACTGATAGGATGACAAACAATTCGGTAATGATCAGAAAAGCTACAATTGAAAAACAGGATAAATTTTGGGTAAAAGAAGAAAAAGGTTTCTAGGTCTCAACATTGAGAAAAGCAGTCATGAAGCACCAGAATTCCCAGAGTCCAGCCTGGCTGAAAGATGGTTGCGAAAGATGGGAAGATATGAATGAGAATGGGGCTGAATCTGTAAATGCATACTGGGTACCACTGAAAGTAAGGCACTCTGTTAGATGCTAGGAATTTTAGAAATCAAGGATGAAGTTCTGCCTTCAGGGTTCACTGTGCAGTAGGAGAGACAAAAACAAATCAGGCACAGGATGATCACTTTAAAATAAAAACATATATACCATGAAAATCAGAGTGGAACTGGAGTTTACAATTGGTCACATTCACCACAACATGGAATTTACAAAATTCCAAAAGTATATGAATATCTTGATGCATAATACAATGAAAAACAGACACAAGTCCCAAGAAGCACACACTGATAGAGTAATAATACAGGAAGAGCTGAGGTAGGAGAGGTCAGCTAGAGCAGCAGGGATTCCCTCATTTTCCATCATTACACTGAAATGCTTTCTCTGAAGAGAGAAGTAGGTATCAGGAAAGGGGTTTGCAGAAATTTTTCTGACATAAGTCACCAATTATTCTCTAGCGAGAAAAATGATGACAGTTAAGATTAATTTGTATTGAAAAACATCAAAAAGCATCAACAAACAAAAGAAATATAAAAAACTAAATGAGAAGATGAGAAAGCTATAGCTGAATGAATTAGTTAAAATTATACATTTCTAAAAGAGTAACAGATGAAGTATTAATAATGACTTATTATGAATAATTTTTAGTTAACTGATTATAAATGATTTTTTTTTTGGTAGTTGGACAAAGTCATGGAAAAATATAGAGAAGCTTATAGATGGATCCTGGAACAACTTTTAATGGTAGAAAAAGCTCATAGGCAAACCATAATGGAGTTGGAGGAAGAAAAGAGAAAACATAAGGAATACATGGAGAAGAGTGATGAATTCATAAGCTTACTAGAACAAGAATGTGAAAGGTAAGACTGCTTTAGAAAAGATCATGACCAGTTCTGCATGTCCTATTAACCTCTCATGTATGGGCTGGGCACTGCACCAAGGATAGAGGGATAAAGAATGAATATGACATCTTTACATAGCAGATACATAAGCAGCTCACAAAGATCCTAAGGTATAGAGAGATGAAAGGATATGTTTAAAGGCAGTATCGATACAATGTAGTAAGTGCTTTGGAAACATAAATACTTGTCACCTAACTCTGCAAGGGAGTGCCTTGTGAAAACTGCAGAGAGGAGACAACAAAGGTCTAGTCCCTATGCAAAACAAATATAAATACTATATGCAGGGCAGGAGCAGAAATAAGTTTCATAACTTAAGAGATAATAAAACATGGGTACATAGGGAACCTATGTTTTCCACATGGCTGCAGTAGAGGGTATAACTGCATGATAAGAAGGGTATAACTGCATGATAAGAAGAGGAAAGGCTAGCCACAGTAGTTCAAATTTATCTTAATAATAGTGGCAGGCAGGGAGAAGCAAATGACAAATTGTGAGAAGGGGAATGAGTTGACCAGGTATGCTGAAAGCACCATTAAGGCAACATGGATGACAGGATGTTTCAGACTTCATGTGTTCCAATGGCTATAAAGTTAGAAAACGTGGAATGTAAATGAAAAATATTTTTGAAGTAGAATCAACATGAGTTAGTGATTAAAGAGACTAAAGAGTGGAGTTTACTTACCAAGGTACAGAATACAGGAATGGACAAAGCATTTTGTTGTTGCAGGATGCTGATTGGAGAGGATAGTGCAAAAGGGATGGAGAACTGGAGATGAGTTCTATAGTAATCATGTTCAGTTTGAGGTAACTGGTGTTTCCCAGCCTCTCGTGATGTCTAAAGATAATGCATGTTGGAAATAAAGGTCTGTAGAAAAGTGGCTTTACAGTTAGTGACAGCTATAGCTTTAGGTGTTGTGAGTGAAGGATAATGAGGAGAGGGAATCCTGAGAAGGCATCAATGCATGGTAATTTTCCAGAAGAAAGGAGGAGAGGGGTGGCTAAGAAAGGAAACTGAGAAAGAGTGGTAGACAGACAAGCCAGAAGAGAAAGAAAGAAAATAAACTTAGGAAAGCCTTTTAAGAAAGATTGAGCAATCAAATAGCACCATATAATACTAAAAAGGATGAGAAAATGTCCTAGGAATTGGCAACAAAGAAGATACTGGGAACTTAATGAGCCCTTTCAAGAAAACATTTAGGGCAGAAGCCAAATGGAGATGCTTTGAAGACTAACTAGGAAATGAGAATACAGAAGCTTAAAATGTGAACTAGTATTTTGAGAAGCTTGGCTACAAAAAGAGAAGGGTTGGTAAATATTTTATAACCATATGGAGAGCAGGTTTTTTATTTACTAACTCACTGTTCTGAATCACCTTAAAAGTATGTGTGTTCATTTTCAATTGAAAGAACTTCTCTATTGATACATAAAAGAAAATAATCATTCTAATATAAAATTTTTACTGTGTTTTCATTTCACTATTGTTATTCCATGTATCCTTATTTTATGAATTACTCAAAAGTTAATGATACTAAATTCTAGCAATCTTGGAAAAATGCAAAATAAAAAAGTCACCTCCCTTTTCTGAAATACTAGTTGTATTTAACTACTTACAATTTACATTTTACTTATGTAGCTGAAGCTACACGATAGCTAGGTTACTCAGTGACAGACATTTGTTTCTTTTCCATGTACTTTATGGTAGACAGTTGGCCAGGGTGCCAGAGAGCCCATGGCCCTCAGAACTAGTTTCTTTTCCCACATTCATTAGGTGTGTTTTCTATTTATTACACAGAAGTGGGTCTTGTTACCTTGCTTCTTATGATCTTGAAATATCTTCCAAGGTAATATTAAAGGAGCAAAAGAAGCCTGGCATCAAGGCAAGATTTGACTCAGACATTACAATGTAAGATTTGTTATTCAATGACACAATATCGTATTAAATATTATTTCCAATCCCTGTGGTTTGGCACCCCTGGCCTCATTTGGCCTCCATACTTACTTGGCACTAAGTTGCAGAATACAGACAACTCCTTTCATCTCTCATTATTATAAACATTTATTAACCATGGTCAGAATGTGGCCTGCCATAGAACAAAGAGGTACTGGCTGTCCCTGGCCAGAGGTCTTACCACATAAACAGAGAAGGCAAAATGATACAGATTTAGGGTGGGAATGTAGAGCACTGATGGTATAGTTCTAAAGTTCTAATATTCCCTTCTAATATTCTTGCATTACTGTCATCTTGTGAAAATAATCTGAGAAGGGCTATCCAGTAATACTATAATGCTGGGAGACATATTATTTAAACCAACAGAATGAAGAGGAACAACACTGAGAAATGGGAACAAAAGATCAGTGGGGATAAAGGCGATAGACTGGGGGAAAACGAAAATGGTAGGATGAAGGATAACTGTACACCATGGAAACTAGCTATAAAAATGGTGTTTCTACATGTATTAAAAGGGTTTAAGTTAAAGACTTTAAAAGATCGTACTTACTAGTCTTAGGAGGACACCAAATGTTTTTGTCCTAAGGATAAAGAAAGGGGGAAAGCCACTACCAAAAAGTAGAAAGAAGTGACTGGAGTAATTCTCACTCCCTGTGCAGCCATTCCAGAAGATATGAGAATTGTTCACCTATTTCTGTTTGCCAAGCTTCCAAATGAAGCTTTCAGACTGTTAAAATGTTACACCTATTTTCAGCTCACATGATAATTTCTCCTCTGCTTTGCCTGTCCAGCAACATGATTCCCAGTCTTGGTGCTGCTGGGACAATGGCCCTCCCTACTTGAGGAGGCAAAATGGGCCTTACTAGGCATAAGTGACACACCTGTTTTAAGGCCATGTGCATCAAAGTATTAAGTGCACACCACCTAACAAAGCAGATGTGGAGGAAACTAATAATTTTAGGAAAATATACTCAGAGGAGCTGCTGACACAAGAAAGTTGGATACGATTCACATGTCTCATTCTTAGATGACAACACAAGCCTTCTTTGAGTCCTAACCTTATTGAGAATATTTCCTCTCAAGCACACAGCCATACCTCACAAAAGCAAGAATAACTTGTCTTAAGGGGTAAAAGAATAATGGTTACTTCCTTCCTCAAACAAAATGATGTAAGACACTCCCAAAATCAGTGACCCTTAGTACAGACAAAGAAATAAAGATAACCCCTCCCCCCCATAAAAGAGGGTTGGGTGAGGACAGCTATAAAAGATTATCTGACTGAAACTTTGAAAACACTGTGAAAGTTTAGTGCTGGTGTTTAAAATACTGGTACTAACTACTTGAAAATAAAAAATTAAGAAATACATAATTGAGATAATTCATGAGACCTTAGAGGATTTAATAATGGATTCAAATTAAGACTCAATTTCTGTGTTTTCTTTGGAAAATTGGTTTTATGTGGAAAACCCTGAAAAGAGACTGATGTCACATACTGAGTTTAGGCCAAAATCTTTGCCAAGTGATGTTGCTGTTGTGATCAGTAAACAAATGGCTTTCCAACTGAGAGAAGGCAGGGGCAGGAATCAGCTCAGGAAACCCTGTTCCCAGGCATATTAATGTAAAGTTTCCTTCACTGTAATCTGTGTGGTTTGGTCTGTCCATAAGGCATTATTATATTCACATTTCATGACAGCTTTCTGCTTGCTGACCAGCTCCCATGTGTGGATATGTGTGTCACCAATGATTTGAATTATATACTTGGCCAAATTACAAGTAGAGTTTATGTGAAAGGTTTTATACAAGAGCAATGCCAGTAATTTTTGGCCTTTCTGGATGGCGTCACAGGGAAGCCAAAACAAAAATCACTTTTAGTCAGTGTAATTTTGCAAACATTTCCCATAAAAGAAATGCCATGTTTTGCCTGTACTTTCAAAAAAGCTTACTTTTTTTTTCTTTTTTAGTTTCCATAGGGAAAAGGCTTTGAAGGAAAAAAACAGTTGCCTTTTTTTTTTTTTTTAAATCCTGCACTCTTTTTTTAGAATATATGCTTACTAACCCTATATACTACTACATTTTTGGCCTTGAAATAACCTCTAAAGTGGGAAATAAAAATTGTTATGGCAACTCTGTATAAAAATGTGGCTTCAACCATGGATTTTTAAAAAGTCTAAAATTACTGTTCATAGTATCTTGGCCAAGTAGGTTACCACTGATATTCCAATTTCATGAGCAGTTCAAATGGTAACTTTACTCAAAAGCCATATAATGAGGAAGGAGTCCTAAGTAGAATTAATTTTTTTGTGACAGAGCAGTGGCACAAGGGGCAGAGATGTTGAGATGAAAGTTAATCAGGGACTTGGTTTCAAGAATTATTGCCTTGGGTTATCCTTCGTTGTTCAGGTTTTAGTAAAGAACAAAAGCACTTCTACCTCTCCAGCAGGGTGAAGCAACTTCATACAGAAAGGTTCCCATTATGGGTACCTACTCTACTATCATGGGTCTATTTCCAGATTAGTCTCAGGCAAAGTGACTAAAACACTAAGCCATATAGACTCTCCTGTTCAGTATACTGGAACAATTTCAAAGGCTTCCTCAAAACAATCAAAGCTTTTTTGAGATTTGTATACTCCTTTGAAATATATGAAAGAATACATATGAAATATATATGAAAGAATGAAAAAATATATATTTAATTTCTTAGCTTAACTAGTTAGCTAGCTAGTTATTACTGCTTGGCATTTATTCATTTGCTAAAAAACAAACAAATACCTAATTAATAAATACCTGCTGCATGGCAGGTCCTATGCTAGGTACTAGGTGAAGCAGTTCTACTTTTGTTTTTTTTTTTAAAGATTTATTTATTTATGCATACAGAACTGAGGGGTACAGGCCAGAGGTGCAGGGGTGGCGAGAGGCTTCACCAGAGACAGAGTGGGGAGCAGAACAGGCAGAGTGACTGAAATACACTGCTGAGGGGAGCAGCGGGCGGGTCAGGAGAGGTCTGCCACGC